ACCTCAAATAGTTGGCATATTTGAAATGGAGATACACTCAGAGTCATCAGCTGTGGGATCAACTTCGGTACACATAGGATTGTCTGGGACTACAACAGACACTTATCCGAGTTCTGGTATGATTGATTTTGTGAGTGTAATCCCACACACATGGTGCTCACATCTAATTTATGTTCTGCTCAAACTGTCTCCAAGGATACTCTGACATTGACTTTGCGCTATACACTCTGAATGAATAAAGCAGAGTTTTCTTCAAAGTTTTTAAACTCGTGGACAGAATAGAAAATGTAGTCTCACCCTGGAAGATTTTGCTGTTCTGTGCACGGCATCTCAAATGTGTTTAACTTCGGCACCTAATATAGGTTTTAAATGTAAAAAAGAAAGAAAAAAGCACCAATTCAACTAAATAATTTCATGATCTATGACCAGTCTTTGAAGAGTGAGTTGAAATCGAACCCCATAACATTCTGTCAAGATATTCCCACACTGCTTCAATAATGTTGAGGTCCAGGCTCTGGATTCCAAACCATGACTTATAGTGTTCCATTGTATTTTTTTCTATGCAGATATCCGTGTTCCACATTGATAGTCTGTTTGGGATCATAATTATGATGAAAAATAAAGCAGCTGCTAATCTGACCATTTCCAGATGGTACTGCATGGTTGATCGAAGTCTTTCCTATATTTATAATTAGATATATTTTAAAAAGATCTCGAACACCACGGCTGAAATGCAGCCTTAAACCATAACAGCATCTCCACTGTGTTTTACCGATGACTGTAGACATTGACAGTTGGACATCCCTCCTGACCTCCTTCATATGTACTGATGACAATTTAAACCAGAAAATGTAAAATATAGATTTAATACTCCATAAAACTCACTTATTGTTTTTTTGGTCCTGTAGTTTTTGTGTAATTTAGTATACGTCAGCCTTTTCTCCCTGTTTCCCTGCTTAAGAATAGCTTCTTGACAGCCATCCTTCCACTGAGACCATTTCTGATGAGGCTTCAGCAAAGAGTAGATGAACTGAACTAATCTCTCAGTTCCTGTTTCAGGTCTTGAGACATGATTTTCATAAACAGTTTATCTGCTTTAAATACCTTTTAAGGACTGCCATTTTTTCCATCTGTCCTCAACTTGCGCAGTTTACACATTTTATTTAAGAACACAGTGAAGTCCATGCCAAAATATGCCAAGTTTTTGGCTAAAGATTTTTTGCGAATTGCCTTGTTGCAAAAATACTGTTTTATGCTTGTGAAACAGTTATCTTTGGCATTTTTTCATGATTTCAATTAAAGAAATGAGAATGGCTGCTACTAACAAAGTGCCTAAAAGTACTATTTAAAATTGGTCTGTTAAGTATAGACAGAACACTATTTCATCACTTGAGTTAGCTGCCTTTCTTGTGCTCCATAGTCAGAAAAACTCTGAACTAGTGCAAACGTCTTCAGAGCCATTGTGGGGGGGTCATGGTATGATTTTTTATTTTATTTTTTTTAAAAGAATGCTTGGACACTGCCAGCATAATGGAGAGGTTTTTGACGGGACTCCCACACAAACGCAAAGCAGAAGATGAAGCATCACCAAATTTGTTTCCAAACCAGCTTCCTTCCAAGCCAAAGACTAGAAAATATGGTGAACCATATCTTCCCTTTGGCTAGGTAGGTCTCCCCTGCAGAATTTGTTTTCCCTGCGTCGGGACCATGCGCTGGGCTGTCCAAATTACAGACAAACAGCATCCCACAGTCATGATTTTTAGTTCACAAACACTTCTTGTAATGACTAATTACTCCTAAATTTTGGCGATGTTAGCTGTTTATAAAATAAAGTTACCGTGGGATACAAATGATATCAGGGTGATCCTGCCACTATTTGTTACCCCTGTCCAAATCACGGACAAACAGAATCTCAGAGATGTTTATGTTTTTGAACCCATTTTACACAAAGAGGCATTTTTTGAAAAATTATAGCAATGTTGAATATTATTACACAGGAAAAAAACAAATACACGTAAAATAATTATACTCTGATGCCTCTGCCTTTCTAAATGGAGGGACAGTAACAGTAAATGTAAGTGTGTAAAAACTGAAGATAGTAAGATTAACAGTAGCAGTATTTTGTCTCTATCTGCCATTGTAGAAATTCATCTCATGAAACAATCATGTGGTGTACAGCGTTATGTGAAATGTTGCGTGACGAACTCTGTATTCCTCGTCCACACGTGAACGCAAAAACAGTTTTTGAAAATCTCCAACCTGACAGGAGTTTTTAAAAATCTCTGATTTCAGTTATTTATGCCGTTTATGTGTGGACGAAAGGCCCAAACGCATAGAAAAACCTGCTACAAGCTGGGGGAATCAAAAATACTCGTGTAGGTGTGGACGTAGCATAAAAGAGTTAATAGCCTGATCTATTGCTGTCGGTAATTTATTGCAGTTTTCTCATATTTGTTTAATTGTTTACAAAAGGTTTGAGGTTTGAAATGTGTGTGTAGTTGGAGGATGTGTTTGTGTGTGTGTGTGTTTGCGTGTCTGGTGGGGGGGGGGGGCCTAGCGAAAAAATTTGGGAATCACTGCTCTAGCAAGTGGTTCTAGGCAGGTAGAGCAGGAGTGGCATGGGACATGTGGCACATGAAACGAAAAAAAGAGACATGCCACATGATAGAAAATAGAATAGAGTACACATAAATACACAGACTTCTAAATTGCTATTACCTCACAGCCTATATCTGTTTTTTCCCCCAAACCTCTGATGGTAGCTACTTTAAAATTAGAACAATGCACATCATTTGTTATGTTGAACTATATTCAGTTAAACAAACTACTTCTGGAATTACATTCTTTTGCATATTTTGCCTTGCCTACACGTTCAAGTTCACTTTTGTATTTTTTGCATGAAATACATTTTTACATAGACATTTAAAGAAGCTGTAACGTGAAGCATTTCATTTTTTAACATTTGGTTTTACTGCATTTACCTTCCCACAATAAATATAGCTAAATGAATAATGGAACAATAGCAGACCTTGTTTATGCAAAAAGGCCTGTCATAATCCTTGAATTTGCATTTTAACACCCAATTTGATAACAGCCCTTTAATCCCAGTGAAGCTCTGAAAGTCTTTAAATCTCCTCACAGTGAAGAATCACACACATTTCCTAATGATGAAAACAAACTGTTTTGAAGCTATTCCAACCCTTAGCATGAATCAATGAGGTGTCAAGAGGGTTTCTGACAACAGTACACTTTTAAGTAGACAAACAGAGGATGCCTTGGGTATTATACAGCTGTGGTTTGATCAGTCTATAATAGATTTTATGTTATCATGAACACCTCATCATTCAGCTTCACTGGTGCTTTGGGATGATGGTGAAGACAGAACACTGACCATAATGTCTGTCCTTCTGTTTTCAGACCAAAGGTTAAGCAAAGTTTCATTTGAGAACTACAAACTTCTAACTGGGCTCAAATACTAAGATATTCTCAGAACGTACCCAGACTTTCTGTAAATTTGCTTATTTTTCTTAGTCTCCTCCTTTTCACTATAAAAATTAAGTTAAATGACACAGCTGACAATTGGCTAGTTCTCTTTTTCTGATTTTCTGTGGAGTGAAGAAAATCCAGTCTGTGAGAGATTATTAGCCAGGAGGCTTTTGCAACACAATGCAAGACAGATTTTTTGTGGAAACTTAAATCGTCTTGATGCATTCTCAATCATCCAGGAAAGTAAATCTCCAAAAGTGGTAGAAACGTTTCATCACTTGGATGAGTGACGAAATGTTTCTCCCACAAAACGCTTCGTCTAGATGAACAGAATCAACTTTTGGAGATGGAAACTTAAATATTTTCAACTTACACACATGCATATTTGCCTCTAATTGATTCATGTGCAACAGCCATGTATGCAATCTCAGTATGTATATGCAGTTTGTGGTCCACAGTAGAATATGTTATGCTGAAATCAATATGTGGTACTTGCTAAAAGTCAATATAATCCTTTGCTATCACTGCGGTGCCTTGTTCAGAATTTGCCAAGATTAACAGAGACTCAACTAAAAAATACTGACATTTCCTCCTCTACACCAGTCATTTTCTAACTATTTTTTGTTGCCCAAAGTACACCAAAGGGCCAACCAAACTTTCAAAGTGCTCTTGTAGTCATATCTGTCATCGGTTCTTCTTTTGATTGGAATGCAAGGTGAAGACACTTTGACAGCTCATTTGCAGCAGCTGGACCTAGTATGTGTATCATCCCATCCATTAGCATACCTTACCTCAATCTAACAAATGGTGAGTCCATTTGGATTCACTGCTCTAGACTTTTACGTTCACGCTACGTTTGTGCTGCACAAAAACTAATTAAAGTCTGTTTAGCGGTGACTACGGTATTCTCACCATCTTATGTTGTTAGACAAGGTTATCGTGCCAGCACTTTTCCACCTGCAGACTGACCTATCTAGTTTGTTGTTGCACACAGCTACACACCCTACACACAATGTACTTTTTGTGTAATTGTGTGATATGTAAAATAAAGGTACTTATCAAAGGAACTGATATTGGTGCATGTTTTAACAGATATTAACAGAGGTTTATAGACCACATTGGTTATTTGTTCCTGCATTGTAATAGAGATTCTGGAAAGCTGAGGCATATATAATGTGACATATCCCAAGTTTTGGGCCTGACAAAGTTCATAAAGTGCAAAGAAAAGAATTTTCAAAATGAAGAAAATCAAGGACCAAAAGAGAAAGCGATCAGAATTTTTAAAGGAGTGTGTGAATCAAGAAATTGAGTGAGCCTGCGGTTTGAATACTCTTTAACACTGAGGTTAATCTTTTGAAACATCATTTTTTTGTCTTACTTTCTCCAGTATTAGGCCACATCTCTTATACCTATTTGTGCAGTTAATGTTTATGTATGTGAACAAGCCAGCCTATAGGGAAATCATGTGTGTTTGTGCTGTTTGCATATCAGTGTTGATGTGCTTCATACAGTACCTATGATAACATGTGCCCCGAGTCTGACCAAGTGGCGAGCTACTTCATAACCAATTCCCCTGCCTCCTCCTGTCACTATGGCAACGTTGCCATCTTGTCTGGGCATCACTGGCAGAAGCAGAAGAGGAGACAAAGATATCAGAGACAATGTCACTTGATAAGGAAGCTTCTTCAAGACAGGTTGATGTTTCTATAGATGACAACTCAGTAAAAAAAACACATGGGCTTTTTGTAGAATTTTTTTCTTTTTATTTCCATTGTACTGAATAACAAGTTTTCTTTACTTTCTTTCATTACTAAAGTTACTTTATGGGTTCAGTGGCAACAAAATAATTTATGGTGTAAATTAACCCCACAATTCCCTTATGGGGGGTTTTCAAACGTGATTCTTATAAGATCCCAAATAGTTAGGTGAAAACTGGAGGTTAA